TGACTTTTATACAACTGAAGTAATTTATAATCTTGTGTTTACAGAATACCAAACCAATATCTTTACTCAATCACCCATAGACTTCAGCTTGTATGACTAACATCCAGGACATGGCATAGCCTTGTGCAAATATGTTACTTAGGCATATCTTCTGGAGAACAAATAACACTCTGACTTTCATGAAAGGAACAATTCATATGATTTATATAAACTTTTTAAATGCAGAAACTTTTTATTTTATACTCAAGTTTTGGGACACTAGTGTCAAAGGCTCTCAGGCTCTGCCTTCTGTCTTCTTCCCTCTACCCTGCCCATCCTTTTGTGGTGGTGATGTTGCTATTGATGGTGGTTTGTTTTTGCTTTTGTTTTTGTTTCTTTGCTTCTTTGACCTAAATGATACTGGGGTGTTCAGTCCATATTAAAAATAGGTGCCTATTTCTTTAAGTCTGCTTTACTGAATGTGTTTTATAATGCAGTAATAGTGTTTTCCTTCTGATTTCATAATTGTTAACCTTTCTCAATCCTGTATCAGAACTAATATTTGACAATTATTTAAATAAAATAAACTTTATCATGAAGAAAAAAAAATCATTAAGCCCAAAGAATCCCAAAGAGGTAGAAAATAAAAATGTCTTCACCAAGACCTGCTATGGTCAACTTGTAAAATACAAAGAATTTTTAAACCAAGGAAAAGCAACTCATCACATACAAGAAACCATTGTAAAAGACAGCAAACATACTTCTCAGTAGAAATGTACTTCTCAGTAGAAACTCCTTGAAGGCCAGGAGAGAACAGAATGACATACTCAAAGTATTGAGAGAAAAAGAAGAGAAAATCAAGACTATGCATGGCACGAGTTAGAGACCTTCTCAGACAAGCAAAAGCAATAGGAGTTAATCACACTTACACCTCCTTTACAAGATGTGCTAGAGTGTTCTTCAAGTTTAAATGAAAAAGACACTGATTAACAACATGAAAAATATAAAAGTATAAAACCCACTGGCCAAAGGTAAGTACAGCCAAATTCAGAATGCCATAATACTATAATGGTGCTAGACAAATGGTTCATTCTACTATAAAAGTTAAAACATAAAAATATTTACATAACTATAAGAATTTCTTAATGGATACAAAATACAAAATATTATAAGTTGAATAATAACAATTTCCAATTTAGGAAGATGCAGAAGAAAGGGAATTATTACACACTTTTGGATGTAAATTTATACAGCCATTATGGACAACAACATAGAGGTTCTTCAAAAAACTAAAAATATATCTGCCATATGATCCAGCTATCTCATTTCTGGATATATAATCAAAGAAAATTAAGTAAGTACGCCAATGTTTGTTCAGGCACTATTAACAATAGCTAAGATATGAAGCCATCCTGTATGCCTATCAACAGAGGAATGAATTTTTAAAACGTGATATAGTGACACAATGGAATATTATTCAGCCATTAAAAAGAATTAAATCTCAACATTTGCAGAAAAAGGATGGAACTAGAGGCTATCATAAGTGAAACAAACCAGGAAAGGAAAGACAAGTACCACATGGTATCTCTTCTATGTGGAAGCTAAAACAGTAAACCTGAATGTAGAATAATGGTTACTAGAAGATTGGGAAGGAGGCTGACTCTAATCAGGGAAAACTGTAAGCATATGTAGAAATATCACACTGAACTCCATTAATATGTACAATTAATACATGTCAAACAAAATTTTTTAAAGTTGTAAATTGTAATATCAATAATATAGAATAAATGGGGGAGAAATGAAAGTACAGAGTTTTTTTAAAATGTGATTAAAACTAAATTGTTATCCACTTAAAATATACTGATAGAACCAGAAGTATCTTATGTCAGCCTCATAATAACCACAAGAACAAACAAACAAAAATCCCTGTAATGAATACACCAAAAACAAAGACAAAGGAATCAAATCATACCACTACCAAAAAAAATCATTAAATCAGAAATGGAGATCACAACAGTAGAAGAAATAAATTATACATGGGTCAAAAACAATTACTGAAATAGACATAGTTAATTACTTTAAATGTTAAAGATTAAATTTTCCAATCCAAAGACACAGTAACTTCATGGGTTAAAAGCAAAGTCTAAATATATGGTGCTTACAGAAGATTCACTTCACTCTTAAGGATACACAAAGGCTAAAAATAAAGGGACAAAAAAAGATATTTTGTGCAAGTGGTCACCAGAAGACCACAGAGGTGGGATGTATTTATATTATAAAAAACAAGCTTTAAGTCAAAGACTATCAGAAGAGAAAAGGTCATC